AATGTCATACTAAGATTTGTAAGTTGAACTTAAGTTTAGGAAAAAATGGGCTTTGATGTTTTGCTGTAATATATTAAAATATGAATTTAAAAAATATATTAATTTAAAAATAGTTGGGCAAACATAACGTCTACCTGCACAAAAGCCGCATTTACAAGAATGAAAATTCACCCATATTCAAGGTTGAGAAATTTCTTGAATTAGTGGACACAGAAATTCTCAGGAAGTGTGTTGGGAACCAGGCGGTGAGACAGAGCTCCATCGATTGAGGATCACAATGGCTAGAACTAGACATTCTAATGGCACCTCTGACAGATCTCCAAAGCCTAGTCAGAATAAAGAAAACCTGGGAACACCAGCTCTGTAACACAGTGCCATGATGTGAGTTTAAGACGGACACACTAACTATTAATATAAGTTTCCCATGATATTACCAAAAGCGTGGATCTGTCACATCTGGGGGATATACAGTGCAGCAATGTTTAGTGGTGACAAAGTTCAGGACAGAGAGGGGGAAAATGGGTAAGAGAGAGAGAGCCATGCATGAATGCACACATTTATGTGCCACTGACTGGAGGTTAGCTAGAATTCTGTGCTACCTGAGTGCCAAAAAGGAAAACTCGAGAACATAAAACTCCAATTAGCACACAATTCACTTCCATTTACAGAAGGGCCTTTAATTAAGTTTTTCTGTTGCAGGTGTGAAAATATTTGGCAACAAAGCCTTGCAAAATCATCCAGCTCAGAGGAGGAGAGCATTTCTCCTAACTGTACATCTAAATATAACTCCTCCCTTGTGCTGTGCCGTTATTAGGATCTGATAATTATAAGAAACACAACAGGAGTTTGCGTTTCCAGGTGAGTGACTGAAGATTAGATTCTGTTTATAAAATGCTGCTTTTCCTCATTTGAAGACTAACTTTGGAAGAAAAGACTGGCTCTCTGTGCTTTCACTTGAGCAATTAATTATTTGGGGCTCATTTCCCCTTTGTGAAAGCATTAAGGGATGTGAGGTTTTGATAAGGCTCAGTTGCTGCAGAAGGCTCTTTTGTTTCATTGTTCTGATACTTCCAACTCTTCTCTGGGGCAAACTGCACCTCAGCAAATAGAAGCCAGACTTCTATGACCCTTGGAGTAGAAAAATGCAGTGGTCTAAGGGATCACTTGTGCCCATGGAATGCAGCGTCACCAAATGAAGATGCTGAGCTGGGGGCACAGAAAGCCTGCTTGCTGAGAAAGCAGAGCAGAAAAGCCACGCTCCAGCCTGGGTCACAGGGACCATCACACAGTGCACAGATGGGGTGCCGACTAAGGATGGTACCATTTGCAAATATTCTGCTGTATCATGGCACAAGAGTGACATGCATCCAGCAGAAAATGTACTTTGAATTTTGATCTTGTCCTGGGCTAGCCACATGTGCTATGACACTCTCAAGGTGCTGGGCCATGGCAGGAGCCACAGCTCCCAATTTGCAAGGTGATTATTATTATAGTTTAGAAGCAAAAATTCTAATTTCTGGTATCTGGCCATTACCATTGTGGAAACACCATTGTTATTGTTTAAAGGGTAGGGTATGCAATGGCTTAAAAACATGAAAGGAAATTTTAATAATTCTGTAATAAACTTTACAGATAAAAGATTGTTTTAGCAAGTGACCTAAAAAATTCACTTGGAAATTTTTTTTTTTTGGTCAAAATTTGGGAAGAATCAGAG